CAGCAAGAGCCGGGCTTTGAGAAGGGTGGACCCCCAGGTTCGAGCCCCCCTTCAAGTCCCGAGGAAACCTTACCCCGGGGTTGATATGTGCGCAGATTGACATCTAGAGGAACCGGAGCTTTACCTGGTTAGCACCCCTGCCTGGACACTTAGAAGGAGTTGGAGCCTGGCTTTTAATGTGCACATCAGTCGGGTCTAGGTCCCGGGGCCGATCGATAAAGCATCCACGGCATCTTTTGTTTAGTTATTACAAGAATTCATACCTGCAAGGTACAGAATGTTAGAACAAAAAAAGTTAAAAAATTCAGGGGGGGCCAAAAACAAGGTTTGGCACAGAATATAAGGTTTCGAAACTTACCAAGGTTCCTAAATCATACCATACTTCAGAAATATAAGGGTTCAAACGGATAGCTCGGGAATAAGCATCAAGCGCATCACGATATTGGTTGATTTGATAGTACAGCACACCGATCGAGCACCAGAATGTAGGGTTCCGTCCATCACGGTAGACCGCTTGCTGATAAGCCTCATATGCTTTGGGATATTTCGCTTGGGACATGTAGCACCGTCCAAGAAGATACCAGCTCTGAGCGTCGCCGTTATCTAGAGATTGGAAGGGAAAGTCAGAGTCAAATATCATCGCGTGGTTTGGGTTCGGATAAATGGAATAGTAATGACTTACCTGCTTTGACAGACTTCTCTAGGTATTCGATGGCTTGTTCCTGGCTGCTATAACTATTGCTCTGCTGGTGGTGGAGCCATCCGAGCTGTTGTAATACCTGTTGTAATACCTTTGCGTGATTGGGATCCCGGTCCAGTACCCGTCTGTAAGCAGCTTTGGCGGAGTCGTACTGTGTAGCGCGGGGGTCAGTATCAATGAGACATATAGAGATCAGGCGGAGGGTAAGTAATTGCATACGTCTTTCTGTTGTTCATGGACATGGCCGATCTGGAACCAGATATCTTCCTCGGTGAGGGGACGGGGGGGGTCTGTGACGATATATTTGAAGCACTTTATCTTTGTGGTCAGTAAAAATATCTACAGATGACGAGATACGGGGGCACCCACCTCTAAACTCTGGTTGAATTTCTGCTGCTGCTTGTATATTATGCCAAGTCTGAAGTAGATCTCGTTTGCCTTCTCAAAATCAGGTTGCATGCGCATGACCTGAGAAAACGCCTCCTCCGCGTGGTCAAGGGAGCCATATCGATCGTACAGAATGCCGATTCCATACCATAGTTTCGGTTCCTAGAAATTTTGTTCGTAAATGAATTCTGTTTGAAGAAGGGATGAGGACAACGAACCTGGGGATCCCTGAGATGATACAGCGCCTGTTGATAGGAAGTATATGCCTCTTGCAGGTTGTCAATCATAAGATGGCAGTGTCCTATTCAGGTTAGCAAATATACATACCAACAAAAAACTGAAGAAAAATGGGAGAGAGAACCAACCTAGACTTCCCCAAGACTCCCCACTGGTGGGATCCAGCTTGATAATAGTCTGCAGATACTCAATGGCCTTTTGAAACTGTTCCCTCGTGCGCAATATGCAAGAGATGGCACTCATAGCGGGTATGGACCACTGGTTATGTCTAAGGGCCTGCTCGTATGCGCTCATAGCGCCGTCCAGATCACCCATCAATTCGGATAAACTTCCTATTAGACGTTAGACCATATAAAGGGAGATATATATGTGAAGGTGTAAATAAAATATATCAGCCACTAACCAATCTGCAACCACACTCCCTCATTAAGCATAGCAATTTTCTGCGCGACGGGGCTTGGAATGGGTTTCTGAGGCGGCTGCTGCGGCTGCTGTTGGGGCGGCTGTTGTTGTTGCTGCTGCTGTTGCTGCTGTTGTTGCTGCTGTTGCTGCTGTTGCTGCTGTTGTTGTTGCTGCTGCTGCTGCTGCTGCTGGCCCTGAATGGGCACATGGCCGTTGACCTGGGGATGGGCAGGGAGGGGACCATGGTGGGGATGGATACCTCCAGGCGGCGAAGGCTGTGCATGGGCGGACATGGTATTCCTTCTGGAATTTTCCCTTTCCCTCTCTCTTTCTCTCTTTTTCTTTTCCTCTCTCTCTCTCTCTCTCTCTCTCTCTCTCTCTCTCTGTCTCTGTCTCTGTCTTTCTCTTTGCGGTGGCTATGTCTTATCCTACGTGATGTTGCGATATCAAAACGGAAGACAAAAGACGGAAGGGAAAAGATAGGATGTATGCGTTCTTCCTCTCAGGGCGGAGCCTGATAAGATGGATGTCGTAAAGTGTAAGGCGATTACTGAGTCAGCGACCTGCGAGGAAAGCCCCTCCTGAAGTGGTAGGAGGCGGATAGGCATTCGATGAAGTGAGGGGACGAAGGAGATAACGAAGCAGATAACTCGGGTGGGGGTGAGATGACGATGGATGTTGGATGGAGTTTGCAGTTGTCGCTGTCGCTGTCGCTGTAGCTGCACCGGTGTAGTTGTGACGTTGGATTGAAAAGAGAGAATGATGGGATGGCGGATGGCAAGAAGAAAGAATTGACAGGCAGCGTGGATTATGTAAAGATGAAGTGAGAGAGAGAGGGCGGAGGAAAGAAAGGAAGGCGGAACCGTAGAAAGGGGGGAAAGTGTAATCGAGGGCAAGCAACGAAGAAAGAAGCAAGAATGGGCGAAGGAAGTCACTGGATGAGAGTCACATGTATGCAGCAGGAAATTGAAGGAAGGAGCAAGGAGGGTGGAGGGGCCAGGGAGAAGCAGCAAAGGAGCAGAAAGGAGCCGGCTGGAAGAAGCAGAAGGAAGCAGATAATAAAAAATTGTTTGGTTGGGAAAGATGGGAAAGAATGGGAGAGAGATGGGAGAGATGGGAGACAGCCAGCGAACGGGCAGATTCGGCGCTAGTGGGAAGGGAGTTGCTGGGCAATCAGATGGGGGAACATATTTACATATTTACACTTTGCGCTACCACACTTTCCACACTTTCCACACTTTCCACACTTTCCACTCGCACCTTTCCTCAGACTCCAGAGCCACACAGCGACTTCCTCGGGACTAGCTGGTCGGTGCCTCCCCGCCTAGCCCCAATAGGCATAGCCTCACTGCGAGAGTTTCGGCGTTCCTAGGCTTCCCAGACAACGGCAAGCAAATGGCAAAAGCATCCCATGGGATCCCTGGCCCCTGCTTCGGGCACGCTTGGCCTTGCTTACCAAAGAAGACCGAGGGGAAGACCTAACGTACTTGCACCCACCATCACGTCACCTGATATAAAACTCTCTTTTAACGGCCCTTTCCTCCCGGGCCTAGTACATACAGGGCTTCTAGACACAGGGTGCAAGCGCTCTGTCTAGGCGTCATACACATGCTCCAGACGACTGGAGGAAATATGAAATCCATAACTTGACCTAAGCTAGAGAACAGAAAGAGAGCCTGTATGCACCAGGGAATTACTCTATAAAAATTGCTGTGAAAGGGAATTAAAAACCTAACTGTATGAAGGGAAGATCATATAATATTTTAACTGATGCTTTATTAAATTAGACTATATCACGTGTGGGAGTGATCCCAAGTAAGCGGTGAAATACGTTGATATGACTAAGAGTAGTTCAACTAGGGCCAGCCTGCCACGCCCCGAGCTTCTTCGCTAGTTTCAAATCTTCGGCCAAACTTTAGGCCAAAGCTGTGCCCCCCTCCTCCCCTCCTTCCCGGCAGAGTTTAAACGCTGAATAACTAGATATAACTAACTAGTTAAACGATACAGAGCTTACGAAGCACTCGTCGGATGAGAACTTTGTTTCAGAGCTGATAATAAATATCCTGTCATCTGCTCCGTACATAATACGAGAAACTCATTTATATATCTTTATACATCTGGGTATATATATATATATATATATAAATATATATTATGCCGATTCTCAGCGTGATCCTCATCCTCGGTCCACCCGGGTAAATAAAAATAAGCATGCTCCAGGGGGACCCAGACTAGCCCACCTGCAACTTGCGGGGGTATTAATATTATCGGGGCAAGGTCCACGGGTGGTGGGTGGTTGGTGGTTATGTATGTACTCACCCTTTTCCGGGTGGAAGCAACGGATGTCAAATGGAACACGCCAAGAAGAACCCACGCCAGTGACGCCGGCGACGCCACGCAACGCCACTTGGAAAGCATGTACATATACAGCTGGCCTTTGACGATGGACGATGATGTTGGCAGGGTTTAAAGTGGAGACTAACTTTTTTTTTTTTTTTTTTTTTTTTTTTTTTAGAAACAGAAGCAGAGAAAGCAGAGGAAGGGAAAAATAAAAGGAAAGAAAGAGAGAAAGAAAGAAAGAAAGAAAGAAAGAAAGAAAAGAGAAAAAATCAATTGAAAGAAAGGCTGAAAATACGATGACATGACTTGCTGCACAGAAAAATCAACGCGGTGTGGGGAGCAATCAGAAGTTATAATAAGAGAGGAATAATTCTTGTGGCTGAGCGGGGGAATTGGATCGGATTTCTCCATAAGTTCGTGTTGAGATATATTTCCATTCCAAATGATTATTAAAGATGGGAAACGATAACTGGTTGGCAAGCTTACTGGCAAGCTAAGCTGGTTTGCTGAAATAACGATACCATGACTAAGCAGCATCGAGAAATGGGATGGGGGAATAACCTAGTAATCATATGGATCTGACCAGGAAAAGAGGGCAACATCGGCACCACCAGGGGTACATAGATCCATCCCGTGATTCCCATGATTCCCATCCCAACGACTTGGCCCAATTCGGCTAAGCCCGCAGCAACCTTGGAACCGTAGAGCCGCTAAGAACCTCCGTACCCTGTTCCAAGTCACCGAGGCAGGGCTAGGGGAAGCCAAGCTGCCAAGCTGTGGAGCCGAAGCTTTTTTCTTTTTTCTATTTTTCTTTTTTTTTTTCATGTTTCTTTTCTTTTTTTTTTTTTCCTTTTCTTTTTTTTCCTTTTTTTTTTTTTCCCTTTTACCCTTTTCCCATGTTTTCTTTTTCCCTTTTTTTGCAAAACGCATTTTCAAACCTTCTTCCGCCAAACCTTTTCAGCCCTGGTCTACTGTCATACTTTGAGTCTTTGCATGCGCAGGTCGCCCAGGGTCACACCTTGGCAGTCAAGATATTATGTTAAGTGTTACCAGTAACCTTGCAACATCCCAGTCGTACGTAGTTAGCAGTCAGAGCTTGCAGCTTTCATCCAACTCTCACGCTGCACAACAGTCCACCGTCCTTGGCGACACTATGCCCCTTCCGCTCGCTCCATCCATGAGACCTTGGAGCCTGGAGGGCCTAGTTACACTCCGTTCTGTTGTTACCTGTGCCAACCTTCTTCAAGCAGCCCTTGAATCATGATGGATGGCGGAGAATGAGATGGATGCCACAGATCCACACAACTCGCACTTGCGCCCACAAACCCACAACGCCCACAACATCCACACCAAACTCAAAACACTCACCCACTTGGGGACTCCACTCCACATATAACCGAACCACCCACATAAAACAGCCCGCACCCTTCCCCTCTTCCCCAACTAGCATGAGACTAAGCACGCTCGTCACCCCTACGACCCACCCAGGGTTTTTTTTTTTTTTTTTTTTTTTTTTATATCACACTTCCCCTTCCCGAAGTCAATTCGTGTTGTGGTTCATGTCGTCTCGTGGCTTGTCATGTCTCGAGGAGGAGAGGTCAAGAGCTGAGGTAGATTTAGGTTGGGGATATCTTCCGTGGTAAGTCTTGGCGGGGTGGTTGAGGGGATTGGCGGATGGCGGTGGTTGGATGGAGGTTAGATGCTGGTCGCAGGCCGCTGGCAGAGGCTGAATGAGCGAACCGTTCCGGCACCGGGCGGGTGTCGGTGTTCGATGTGGGTTGTGGTTGTGGATAGGTGTGGCTGTGATGGTGGTTGTTGTGTGATTTGTGTCTATTGGTGTGTCATGATGTGGCTGGGTAGTGAATTATTTATCGGCAAGCTGCCACTCACATGATATATTTTATGCACAAACCGGCCAGGTTGGAACCCCTGTTGACCTTGGAATCTTGTCTTGGAAAGTGAAAGAAAATCAAGACCCGACATGGTCGTTTCATATAGTTACTGGACGGATCTACGTTTCTTTCCCTTCGCCACGTATGAGGGAGGTTTCCACTAATGAGAAATGAGCCGTGTTCGCCTCTCCCCCCCCCCCCCCCCCCCCCCCAGCTTAGCTGCAGCAGGCAACGCAAGAGTGGAAGAAAAAATCTGTCTCTTTCTAAATAGCCAAGCTAAGATGATTACGAGATTTTATCAGTTGCACTGTTTGCATGAAAATGCGAGAGAAACAACTGTCGTATCCCCAAACATTTATTGTCCCTGCTTCACTACGAAGATTTCTTCTAAACAAACATGTAGCCGCAGCCTGTCAAACCCCAACCAACAACAGCAGCCTGAACCCTAATGTCACTGGTGGCTCCTATCCATATTACATAAATTTTCCACAGTTACTCTCGTCGACCAGCCACCACTGCAACATTGTCGCTGACACCGACACACGCTGATAATTACCCGGCAGATGAAACATGGATGGGGCAGAAACACACCCCTCCCGTTTTATGCATGTATATATAGATACATCGTTTAACCCCCCCGGCTCTCCTGTTGGATCAATAATGAGATCTTTCCCCCAGTCCTCGGTGCTTCCCTACATTCACGGGGCGCTGATGGTCATAGCGAAGTTCAACCTCATCACTTGCATGATCTGCTCGTGTGAGGGATGGTCGGACGAAATCTCTTCTTACGCTGCGTATGTTGAAAAGGGGGGTCAACTCTCAATTCACCTCAAGTCTAAGGCTGAGGAGCACACGTCACCGGTTAAATGAACAGCCTAGCCTTGCAATTATATCCCTTTGCTTCCTTCGCATTAGTTATCAACAGAGGATTGTCACATTCAAAGGTCAAAAAAAGATTCTTTCCCGAAATTCCCACTAACGAACCCCCCAGGTTAATCATTCTTTGACAAACCTCCAAAGCCCTGGCCTAGAGACGGAAAATGTGAAAGGTTGGGGTGGGGGGGGGAAATTCAAATGCGAAGGAAGACTCAATCTGCCGCAACCTATTCCGTAAGTACGTGGGCAGATAGGTAAAATTTCATGTCATCACTTGGCCCGTGTGTTTAGTTACATCTAACTAGCTAGTTATCCTACAGGAACTTATTAACCCATTATGCATTTCCACTCATTATTACTAATAATAACAATAATGCCCCATATGGAACATTTTAGAATAAACGAGAAACCGCCTCTTACACATGTTAGATGGAGGAATATTTCGTTGTAACCCCCCTTTCTGCAGCGCGTCGAACAGAACCGGGCGCCTGGATCCCATCGCAAACTCACCCATGGGAACTCCACGTCAGATTGTGATGTCATGGAAGCGCTAAGGCGGGCGGTTATTTCGTTTACTTATCAACTTATATCACTTTTCCACGGAGTTCCGTGGACTTAGAAACCCTTTTTACAGTTTCCGATGTTAACTGCCAGCCCTATCAACAGCAGCCAACGTAAGGTCCAGGCAGACGAACTACTAAAAATTCATACATCTTAACTAGTTATAGAAGAACAGGAACCAAAAAAAGAAAAAAACTCTCACCACAACCAATGAGAAAAAACCTCCAATAACATCACTCACCTCGAACAAAAAAATCCGTTTGGTTCCACACATGCAAGTATGCACCGACAGCTTGGCATAGAAACTACCTGCAGCCATCCAGAGGCCTGCATATCCAGTCAACGTGACTTCACGTACATGATGCGTCATACACGATACCCTGCATGGCGTAAAAAGGGCAGTGACTTCCCAGAGGCGTGTCTGTAGTGTAGTGTACAGGTGCTGCAGTACACACATGCTCACATACTCACATACACACATACGTTGGACAAGAAGAGAAAATGTCCAACGGAACACACAGCATCTCCGTTCTTGCATTATGGAACAGAAACAACAATAACAAGTCACATCCCATATACGGAGTGGTTGTGCACGCTAAGGGCACGTATCAATGCATAACCCGGTGCCCAAATACATCCATACGTTATGCCGCAAAAACTTGACGGGATGCCGCTAGTTACCCCGACCGCCTGCGTACCAAATTTATATCCATATATCACTCACTCCAACGGCCTGTTCCAAGTTCGTGCATCCCTTGCCCGGGAGGGAGTGATTTCTTCGAGTCTCCTCTCCTCTCCACCCCCTTCTTCCAAGGGTTTCAGATGTTTCAGTTTGGGATGGCTCTTTTAAGATCTCGTTCTGTGACTCTGAGGACGTGGATGGGGGGGGGGTATGGAGAGTTGAAAAGAAACATGCAGTCAGTCAGTCAGTCAGTTATGTAATGCGAAATAGCTGGAGATTTTTCCACCCTCCGTGAAATTGCTGCATACTTTGGCCTTGCGAATCCCGTATCAGTCCCTTCGGATATCCTCGGTTGCTCACCTACCTGTAGAATATGTATTAAAGGACAACAACAAGTCAAGCCTGCCTCTAACCGTCTGGCACTTCTACTACCCCACTCCTAGATGGCATGACGTTGTAGATGACAGGCAGCTATACACAGAAGCCGCCACTAATTGTCCAGATGGGTTCCCAATCTCTTACTCTGAACTTTGGGTGTTCCAAATTGTCAAAAGAAAAAAAAAAAAAAAAAAAAAAAAAAAAAAAAAAAAGGTCCACGTAATTCTTAGTTATCTTCGACTTCGCACTTCCAAAGAGGTGCTTAACAGGTTCTCTTGCGCAATAAATCAAGTGGCAATTTCGACGGGATTTTATCCTCGTAATATTCAAGTTAACCCATTGGACACATATTCAGTCATCGGCCGGACCCATTACCGTAGAGTCAACTTTATCCTCAGAACCAGGCATCGGTGTGTCTTGAAAGAATAACGTTGTTGTAAGGATTGAACTAGCTAGCCGAGATCTACGCTATATAAAGGGAAGGCATGTGATTAGAATAAGTATAGTATCCGTCAACGGTGCAAAGTACATGCATCTCTTCTTATTATTTCAGCTGTCTCTGTGACTATGCTCTAACAAGGCCTCAACTGATCCCAATTCTCTGTGTTTGTAATCTCTGTCTCTCGACCCAATGCCTCCCCGCTTGCACATTTCGCCAGCCATTCACAAGTCTGGTGAATGTCCATTAGCATTTTCAACAGACAAGACTGGACCGGCTTTGAAGACGATGACATGAAATGCAAGTTCCAGTCCATGATCTTCCCTCGTCATTGACCACCCCATTTAGCATCCAATGAATGCATCAGCGAGCCATGGAAAAATTTCTCTAGGTTTTAACTTGGTATACTTTCAAGTTGAGCTCCTCTCCCAGTGTTTGCCTTACGGGATCAATAAAGATTCAGCTTTCCCAAGGACTACGAATTTTGGAGAACTAAGAAATTAGTATTGACAGCAAAATAAGTAGTAGTTTGTGGTAAACCAGGAATATCGTCACGTCCAAGTGGTTGAACCCACCCCGATGGGGAGGATGTTGGTTGGATTGTTTTTATACTGGAATAGTGAGTTAACTACTTCAATCAATGATTACTTCTCCTAACAAGCATTCAACCATACATCAAAAATTACCGGTTGATTGCTGAAAAACAGAGAGCTCATCCACTTATGCATTACAGCTTAGAAGTGGAAGATATGCTGATATTCCCAGGGATGAATTCAAAAATCGTAGTAACTAAGTTGGCGTCAAAGTTAGGAAGATGGGCTAGTTGATGCTAAGACGCCAAGGCCCGCAAGCGCCGTGGAATAAGGAAGCCTCAAACTCTAAAGTTACCCCGCCAAACTGCCACCGGATGGACCTCGGGATATTAACAATGTGACGTCTTGGGAAATTAGAGCACACCGAAAATCGTCCTGGCAGTGACTCGAAATGTTCCCATTACCCAATAGTTTGGTGGATATGATGGTTCACTTGAGAGCAAGCTAAGCAGAGGGTGTTCCTATTTTCCAAATTTAGCCGAGCGAAATGCTTTCGCTTTCTTCTGGGTTTGAGCAAATGCTCCCATACGAAGACAGCAGTGGAAAGTCACGATTTTCGAGCATATGCGGTGTAGCAGCCAAGGGGCTTTAAAGCTTCCCCTTTATTTATTTATCTATTTTTCGTTTGCCACTCAGTTCTTCGTGTGAAATGGGTTCTTACTCCCACCTCAATTCTGGCTCTCTTGAGAATAAATACCCTTCTCAAATGGCATTCAATGTCAGTTTCAGTATCTCCAAGCGTTCTGCTTTCGCAGTAAACTTTTTCCGTGATGGATATGTTCAGTTCATTTGCTCGCTCTGTTCTTAGCTTCTGGCTCTTAAGTCTATGATCGCAGTGAGCGAGCATGTTGGCCTAATTGTTCTCTCCAACAAATCCCATACTGACGAAGATAGAGAACCTCACATCTATCTCACTGATATCCAGTAACACGCTTTTGCAGAGCCCACACTTCTATTACTAAAAGCATACGCAACTAAGTCTTCTTTTCCCCACCATCTTCAGTCACTTTTATTCAAGCCATTTTCAGCCCATGGTCTAGTTTTGACAATTCTTTGTTTACTTCCCTTTGCAGATAGTCCTGAAAATGTTTTCTCCTATTGCCACCCTTGCATCTGGTGTTGAAATTGAGTTGCTTCTCAAGCCGAAGGAGGGTATAAAAGAAGTAACTTGGAAAAAGCACGTGTTTGAGTGGGGATATTATGCTCTCACAGAGGCTGTCAGACAAAAATCGCATCACCGCCGTACCCATTGTTATTCTGGCATTCTTGTGTTCCGGTAGCGTAGAGACCAAGTTAAACACTGGCACCTACGAGAATTGGACTGTGGCTGATGAGCCTGCTCTTGATGAAAGACCTGGGTTTTGTATGTCTTCGGCAGCATATCCAGTCATTCAGTGTAAGCAATCAATAACCATCGTTCAGGGAAATGTGGAATTGATATCTAGGATTCTAGGCTCCGAAAATAACGGGAGGAGAGAAATCACTATGGTGTTTGATGCCATGACGCAAAATTTTGATGTCGAGTTGAACCACCGGGTGCGTCCACGCACATACAACATCGCCCCAGACCGGGACATAAAGTTCCACCCAAACCAGAAGAAACAGGCGATTAAATATTATAATAGGGCGAT